AGTTAAATTTTGAACCCTCCCCCCCCCCCTCTTTCTACCTACCATCATCCCCCCTTCTCCCTTGTTTTAGTTTTAAGCATATACAAAGAGTCTTGATTTTTCATAATACTTTTAAACCACTACTACTTTGATCAGTCAAGTATTCTCTCAAGTGTCAACCTAGGTGGGTAACCCCTGTCAAAAATATTGACGTGGTGAAAACTTTCATTTTTTTATTCAATGAATACTTTGTCTTTAAACAATGAATTAAGCTGAGCTATTGTTCAAACTAACATCAGCTTCATCTTTAATAAATTATCAAATTAGTAAAATTTTAATTTTAATCTTAATTTGTAATTTCTGCATTACTAAGAAAAGATTCAATGAATATTTTCCCGTGCATGCACTGATAGAAGCATCAGTTAATTTTTTTGAAATTTCACTCATAAATAATTCATTTATTTAACCATGAAGATTCAACGAAAGTTTATAAGCATAAAATTCTTGAAAACATAAGAAAGATTTTGGTGGGGTTACACTTAACCCCCCCCCCCTTTCTCATCTTTTGTATTGTTTTATTTTCGCTTGGTTACATTTTACGTAATAGACATTTTTAACATGTTATCACAACTGCTTTTGAACATGTTTAAGAATTTAGACTCCTTGATATGGCATGACAAACTGTCCCGTGGGTTAATCTCTCTGACAGAAAAAAGCGTTTTTTCTAATGTTAGAATTGAATTGCTTCACATAAGGATTCTATTGGATTGTCTTTTGAAAACTAATATTTTCTGAAATTACCTGAATTTTGCTTTTTCAACTGCATCGTTTCTGTCATCCTATAGAGTTAGAACCTAAAAAAAAATTAAAATTAAAATATGGAAAATTCAGTTTTAAAAAACACAAGAATAAAACTAAACCGCAGGCGTAAAATTTATTGCATAAATATCTATTTGATTTCGACTGCATGGATACATATTTTTAGAATTAAACTGATCTAGTAATTTCCTAGAGAAAGATTATGGCCTGCCTCCCGCCCCCTACCCCTCTTTATCAAAGAAAGCACATGATCATATTAAAACAATTTTGGCCATGGTGCTTGACACAGAAATTCTCTAAACTTATCCTAACCGGGACCCTGGAAAAATACAAAGTATTTTATGNGAGCATTGTTTGGGTCTGTCCTAAAGAACGATTTTTGGACCCCAACCCCCCCCTACCCCCCTCTCCTATCAATTTTGTACACGACCATTTATTTTTTCAGCAAATTTATTATTATTTATTTTTTGTTATTTAGGGTTAGGTTAGGTTAAGACACTTTCTGGGCCGAGCGCTGCGGCTAGGATAGGCTAGGGGGCCGAGCGCTGCAGCCACAGGTTAGGTTAGTTAAGACACTTTCTGTGCCGAAAAAAGGCGAAAATTATGTTTGATATGTCAAATTAGGATCGAAAGTCACAGCTGGCTGGGATAAGATCCGAACTGTTAGATTCGCGTTACCTTGGATTAGGACTGGGTCTGTAACGTGTTTTTAAAAATCTTTCTTTGCTCTTTCTAGAACGAGGGCCTTCCGAGATTGTCCGTTCCGGCCTCACGGTTCTTATTTCAATCGTTCAATCCCCGGGTTGAACCGTTCTTTGTTCCGAGAACGGTTCTAAGGAACGGGTTGGAATGGGTTGAGGTCGGAGGGGGGGGGG